AAGTAATCGGAGGGTGTAACGGTAGCCGCGAAAAAAAAAAAAAAAAAAAAAAAAAAATAAAGAAAATGAAAAAGAAAAAAAAACTGTTATGGTAACTTGATATCGTTCGAGGTCTGTTCTTTCTGATTAACCTTTGACTGGTCATGTGCCTTAAGTTCACATGGCCGGTTACGTGGGATTTCTCCAACCTTCATACGAAGGACGTCTCATTATTGCTACATTATTACTATTATTGGGCATTATTACTATTCCGAATATAACATTCGTTATAATTAATATGTACATATAAAGTTTGTGTTTTCTGTATTTAGAAATGAAACATGATTTTCATTCTCAAAGACAGAACGAACAAAAACAGCAATTAAAAATCAGCTACCGTTATAGAACGCGTTGCGAATCTATCTGTCTTCAACTACAAAAAAGGAAAGAAAATCTGAAATCCATCATATCGACGGGTTAAACTCGAGAAACAGAATGAAACGTGAAAAAATACTCTCTTATTAAGAAAAATTCTCAGTTGGCTGAAGTCTGTTAAACCCCACGTACCTAGTCAAAAGTTAAATAAGCCTTTTTCGGTGCACTCGATAGTGCATCGCAAAATTCTATGGTGCTGCGAACTTTTTATGTTATTTTATAATTATATATATATTGGCAGAGTATGTATATATATATATACATAAGGAAAACGTGTTCTGAATATTAAAAAAAGGAGAGGGGGGAGAGAGGCGAAAGAAAGCACCTGAAACGTTGTGAAAATTGTGAATAGAATCAGTTGAAATCAGTATTTCGGTTGAATAAGTATGTCTGTAGTGAATAAAGTCAGATTCAAGCATTACATTAATATGTAAATTTGTTTACGATGTATTAATTGTATTGGAAATTCGACGAAATGTAAGTATTGGAAAATTGTGTATAATGTTAATGCAGAATGTTTTTTTTTTTTTGCAGATTTCCGTATCTGTGTATTATTGTGGAAAATAAATCAAAGTACTTACATTTTTACCAGAATGAAATTAAGCGATCGAGATTCCTTTGTATTGCATGTATCTTTAGGTTTTTTTCAGTATCTTTTGAATTTTTCAATAGTTCTGCCAGGTGACAAAAATTTTAATTCATCATTTCATTACATTAATATTAATTCATTATTTTAAAATAATGTTTTCAAATAATTTTGAAAAGCGCCGCATAGCAGTAGACTGATGAAACTAATTTTGCCGTCACCTGTCAATGTTTTGATGCGACGGTGGCGCCATCTATTGATAACTCGGTGGTGCTAAAAGAAGAAAATTCTGTTTTTAGTACCACCGAGTTGCCAATAGATGGCGCCACCATCGCATCAAAACTGACAAATGACAGTTTTTCCACAAATTGCGAGAAGAAATTAATTAAGAGGAATTATTTGTGAACTGTTATGGTTGCGTCTTCAATTTTAGACCCTAAGCTTGCGTTTTATAATTTGTTTAAGTATAGTTTACGTATATAAAGAGTGTTTCAATTTCGTTTACGTTAGCAATAGTGCCAGTAGAGTGCATAATTTCGCGCAAATTATAGTGAATATTAGATTCAGATTTATTTGCGAACGTAATTGATAGCATTATCTTTGAAATATATGCTCGTGGAGTGCAAATTTGTGGCGTGAAAAATTAAAATTAATTATTCCCTTTATATGGATATAGAGCGTTTAGTTCCGCCGGTCTGCCACAACGCGGCGCTAGTGTTTCTTACCCCGTAAAACAAAGAAATTTTCATTTGCGAAAAAACCTAATTTAACGAAAAGAATTGTGAACTTTGGCGATTGTATTACCCTAATTAGACCCTTAGCTTTCTTTTGATACCCCATTTGACTCATAAAATGCAGAAATAAGTATTTTTATAAAAAATCAGTACCACTGAGTTACCGCTAGATGGCGCCACCATGTCCATTTTGATACATTTTGCACTAATTAAGAAAAAAACCTAATTAAGAGGAATAATTTGCGAACTTTTTTATATGCCTCCTTAAAATTAGGCTCGCCGCTTTCTTTCTATGTGTGTTTTGTCCTAGAAAAACGTGTGTGTAAAAAGTTGAACTTTTTTTTCAATAGATCGAAGGATGTCCTTCTCGCACACTGTTGCTTTACTTGTCTAGCGTTATTAGACAAGGAGGGCACTAACGTGTGACAGACATCTAGACGCGGTAGACAAGGACAGACATATTCGCGCGGTAAACAAGGTGGGCGATAGCGTGGAACAAGGATAGACATATACACGCGGTAAACAGGAAGGGCGATAGCGTGCGATAAGGACAACAATATAAATTACCTCCGACACCTATCCTAGGTGATCCACACGCTTGCTTAATTGTGCAGAAAATGGAAATGACATATAGAAACGAAGCTTCTGAGAGTTGGAACGTTAATTTGATTCGTTAACAACTCAAAAATTCCATTTACTTTCTCATTTGTGTGAAAATATTAATTTCACGCTTTTACCGCTACGCGACGCTAGTATTTCAGTGTCCATGAACTAACGAAACTTTCATTTGCAAGAAAAACCGATTAAGAGGATTGATTTTTAACCGTTTATATTTTCTCTCTTTCTAATCGAAACCCCAACTCTCTTCCTTCGTATTAATCGAACTTGAAATATGCACAAAGTACATAATTATAGTTGTATGCATTATTGTAGAAGCATGCCATCCTCGTACAATCAACATGGCGGCCTCTACAAAACAGAAAATAAAAGTGATCGGTTTTTGTTGAATTTCTCAATAAATTTCATAGAAAAAGTGCAGCTGTTTACTGCTTTTATTAACAATACCCATTACTACAGGATGACGACAAACAACATTCACGTTGCATGAAGTGGACTTTCCATTATTTCTGTACGTTTTTCTCTCAATACTCGTGTGTTTTGTTAACGTGTGTAAACATGCATTTCGCAACACGTTGCAAATTTAAATTCGCGAACGAAGTTGGAGTTCTGAAATAAAATGTATCTATTTTCAGAGTAACTCGTGGCAATATTTCGTCGTCATTCGTTTGCTTGTTGGTTTCGAAAAGATTATTTTGATGATCGTTTCATAATATTTCTTTCTTTTTTTGTTTTTTTATGTAGAATTTAGATGTTCCTGCGACACTCGTTGCAATTAACATTACACATTATAGTTGTTCCAGTCGTAAACACGATTTATAAAGAGTACAGAGTACACTAGATCAAATTAAATAACTCGCCAGATTTTTAATTTTCATCTTGCTCTATCTTACGATTTTGTTTTATTGCACGAGAATTATCTGATTTATATGCCGGGTACTGTCGCTATTTTTTCTCTTAACAAATTGCGCAAATAATGTACATACGCACGTTTAATTTTAAGGATCGAAGCTGCATACAAATATTTAAAAGGAAGAGAAATAAAAAATGTCACAACAACTGTCAAGGAATAGAGTACTTTTTCGAATTTTGAAAACTAAAAGCTCAACCGCTAGCAGCATATGCGAAAAACTGGTATTTATCAATGAATAACGGCTTCATATTTTGTTGGCATTATATCGTAGTATTAAGCTATTAAACTGCGAGTCGCAACGCATGTTATTCGATTATTATTACAATACTCACAATAATTACAATGTATCTTCGCATGTTAAGATTTATTCAGACGATAAATTTTTATTTGCGACGAATTGTTATTTTAGAATAACAATGTAAAGAACATTGTCCTATTATCAGAAGATGAACTTTGTGAACTGTGGCGACATGTGAAAACTATATTACTAAAGGCACAAAAATTGTATAAACAAGCAGCAAATGATAAGTGTAAATATATGAAGGTAAGATCATTTATATAGATGTTCTATATGATTTTTTTTTTTTTAAGATATTCCCTTATCATTAATATAATAATTATTATTATTATTACTATCATTAATAAAATATATTTATATTGTAAATTTCAGGAGTTTAATCTTATGGTCAAATTGATACGTACAATAACCCTCATGGCTCTTGAAACAATTGTACAGCGAATATTTAAACCCAATATTCTATTGCAGAACATAATGTTACTACATTCTGCTATATTACCAAACATAAAAGACGAACAAGTTCGTATTTAAATATTATGATTTATTCTTGTAATATCTGTTCTTTTTAATTTTAAATAATTATTCTTCTAAGGCTAAAAATGAAATATCCAACTTATTGGAAAAATGGTGGATATTAGACATGTTATGGAAAGAAAAAGTGATAATAAATACATTGAAATACCTCATCCAGAGTTGCAAATCTTCATTGGTAATTATATGTCAGAGATAAATATGTGCGTGTGTGCAGTGTAACTTCAAGTAACTGATTGATTAATTATATCTTTAGCAACATATAAAACGTTTATATGAGATAAGGTCAGCTATTATGTTGTTAAAATGCACAGAAGATGTAAGAAAATTACTTAAACTTGTTCGAGAAAAAACTGTGATGTCACTTGAAGAAGGTCGAATGTTGATATTGCATTTGTTTACACTTGGAGAACAATATATACTGGTACAAGTTATAAACAACATATTTAAATATCAATTTTTTATCAAATTTAATATTTACATGAGTGATGTTTCAGGGAATTCATAATAATGTAAAAGTAGTGTTACAAAATATTGAACACAATTATATTGCTGCTTATGCAGATTTGTATGTAACAGCATGGTTAAATGCAACTGAAAAGTTTAAAAAATTTATTGCTGAAAATTGTTTACAAGACATTATTTTTCATTGTTTTCAAGCACGTAGAGATAGCGCAGGAAGAGGAAAGCTTGGTCAAAATCTACTTTTATTTCTTGCTGCTATGCATGATAACAAAAAACGTGCAGCAAGATTAATGATTCACAATGAATGTAAATCTTTAGTTTGGAAATATTTAAAGGTATTATCGAAATGAAATATACATACATACATAGGCATACGTTATGTTATGAGTACTACAATTTAAATTTTTGTCACAGGTATCTGGTTCTTTCATCAAATGTAATGCAATAGAGATTCTCTTTGTAACAAGTTCTGTTCAATATACATTTGTTTCAAAAGACAAAAATAAAATCTATATTCAAAAATATTATAAAACAATAACAGATCTCTTAAAAAATTTGAATCCTGAAGTATGCATTGTTACTATAAATGTAAGCCAATTTTGTGTAATTATTGCTTTAATCTTTTGCCTAATTGTAGAATAATTATTAAGTGAACTTTTAATATCCAAAAATTATCTCTTTTTAGGGTCTGTTTGAAATGTTAGAAAAATATTGGTCTCATGTTCCAATTAATATTATTCAGAACTGGTTAAATATCTTATTAGATCATACCAAAAACGCTAATAATTCTGAAATAAGAGCAAGCATTTTTATTGGTCTTAAAAAGATATTAGTTAAAGAACGATCTCATAGAATAGTTAAAGATTTTCTACCAAATTTTGCAAATAGTATTTACGATGAAGATCAAATGGTATTAGAAGCATTAATTAAACTTCTTTATCATGCACAAAAACTTGGAATACCATTTTGGAATATAATACCATTGACCTATGTTCTTGATCGTTTAGAGGTACACGCAATACAAACATTCGCTGTTTAGAGATGAAGGTAATACTATATTTACAGTGTCTTATTATTATTTTTAGACCACCCAAAATGTATTTGTTTTACAAGAATTGATAAAACTTGTCTGGTTACGTATATCATCAAATGGTACACATTACGATAAAATAAAGGATGAATTAGCGTATATAGCCACACGCAATATAAATGCTATTAGAAGATTTTGTTTGCATTCTAAATTTATTATAAGCTGGGGTACATCTACAAAACTTATTGAAACTTTATTATCTATAACAAAAAAGGAAATAGAATGTTTACCTGCAGCAAAAATATTAAGCAAAAATTGTAATAAAAGAGCTAAAATTATCAATAAGGACAGTAACTATGAAAATGGTAATAATGCATAATTATATACGACATTAAATTTAAGTTTAAACGTTAATAATTCCGTTTATTTTAACAGATTCTTCGGTTAGCTGTAATAAAGATTTTGATAATTATAGAAATATAAATATGTATATTGATGTTATTGCTATGTTATTAAAGGCGAATATTAAAGATATAGACGAAGAAAAATTCTATAATGAAGAAATGAATATTTTACAAGTAATAACGTATGCTTTACCAGAACTTTTTAAATATTTCAGGGTAAGTTTTTGTAATTTATTCCTTAAGTTCTCGTAGTATATAATTCTTTTTTTTCTTTAGGAAACCCCTGTAAAGGATTCAATAATATTTTTATTTTCTTTAATACCTTCGAAATTTTTCCTGAATAAAATTGAAGTTACCGAAATGTTGGTACAACTATTGTGTGATCCCAATACTTCTGACGAAACCCTTCTTTCAATTGTATATCTTCTCATGAAATGGAATAAAGAAGATATAATTTTATTCACATTGACGCACCTTTTTACAGAATCTTTAAATACAAGTGCGAAACATAATCAGGTACAAATATTACGTAATAAACATATTGATGAAAGTAAAATAATACTGTGAAATATATGTTTTAGAATACTATTAATTGTACAAATGATTTTCAAATTAATGAGAAAGGTTTAGAATTAAGTTTACGAATTTTAAAACATTTACTACACATTGAATATCAATCAGTTTTAATGAATAAATATCATAAAGACATGCTTAAATTTTGGGAAACTTTATATAAATTAAGAAGTTTAATAGAAAAAGAATTAAATAATGAGTGCAATATCAGAAGTCTAATATCCAAAGATATAATTATAAATTTTTTTAAAGTATATATATCAATGATTACAATATTACATAAAAAAGATGTATTTGATGCATCAGAACATTTTTCAGAAGTTTTATTGTGGCTCAGAAGGTATGAAAATTAATTAATTAATTTTTATTCGTTTCTTCAAAGTATTGTTATTAATATATCTTTTTTTTTACGTAGGACGATAGTGCCGCACATATCGCATGTAGATGTGAACATTATAGAAAATCACCATATTTGTATAAAAATAATAAAAAATACTTTTGATGTGTCAAATTTACTAGTGAAAGAGTACAATGCTACTCCAAAACTATGTTGTGATATCGTACTTTTATACTGCAATTGTTTATCATCATCAAATGGTTTCATTTTTTTAAATGATGCATTTGATGCAATAATGATGTTATTAGATTTTAGTAAAATGGCTTATGACAAAAAAGAACCAAATTTATTAAAGACTATTATACCAAACTTTATATGTATTACGATGGTTACTTTAACTAGATATAACAAAGATATATTATTTAAATATACAAATGTAAGTATTGTGAATTATGATAATACAGAATTATGTAAAAACACTTGATAAATATTTTTTATAATAACAATGAGTAAATTATTAATTGCAGAACTTAAAAGTACTGCAAGAATTAACGCAAAAATATTTTTCTGTTGTTAAAAATACCTTTCATAACGAAAATTCGTATTTTTCATACATAACTACTATGTTTAATGCTGCAATCAGTAGTGTAAGTACGGAAATAACATGTGAGTTACAATGCTCACACATAACGGAAGAATACATTTTAAGTATTCAATTTCCTTATTTAGCAAAGAAGATATTAAAAATTATATTCAACCAAAAAAAATATCAAAAATTGAGCATACAAGTATTAACAAAGACAATAACAAATTATACAAAAGTAAGTATATTTATACTGTTTAAAATGTATTATTAGTTACATTAATTCATTTCATATTTCAGATTGACATGTTATCTGCTTTGATAATAATATATAAAATGCTTAAATTAAATGATAAAAAAGTTACTAATTTACTTAAGAATGTTACATTAGCATCCAAAGTACATTACCAAGAACAATCTTGTATTACTTCCTTTGACAGGTATTATTAATTTTTTATTTTAAAAATGATAACGTATTAACCGTAATAATAATAATAATAATAAAAATAATAATAATAATAATAATAATAATAATCATATGATTAAAAGTATTATCTTTCCAGGTCTGTAAATGATGCAATAAATGTAGTTACGGATGCAATATTAAAAAAGTAATATAACTACCATTTATGTAAATAACTAATAGATGCTAGATGTACGATGTGCAATATATTTCCATTTAGTTTTTTATATATTAATGAAAATATAGAGTATTTTTGTATGACTTAAAAAAATATTTTTTTACAAGAAGAGGAACTAAGAAATTTACATCTTAGTTCATTAATTATAACATTACACATAATTAATAAAATATAAATTCTAAAAAAATGTACAATATAAAATCAAATAAATACATATAGTTTATTTAAATGTAATTACTTTTTGTACAAGAATATTTCATTTGTTTATATATACAAAAAACTTAAATAAATTATACTTATTATAATTATTAAAATAGCTATATATTATAATGTATAATTTAGTTTTTAACCATTGCACGTTATTTAGCCAGAGGATGTTATATTTCTTATTTGTCTGACTGCAGCTACAACTCTGGCATTGCATCCAGAGCTGCTATTCTGATAATCTTCCGGTGGTAGTCTTAATAAAAGAGACATATGTTGCAGATTTTCTGATAAAGATAGACCAAGTTCTTCTAATATATTACCAAGATAATCTATAACATATATTATATGCATCCAAAAACTGAATAAAATATTTTTAATGCAAAAATATATACCTATGTCAGTTGCTAGTTGTTTACATGCGGCGGAGCTTAACTGGCAAATTCCTAATGTTTGATCTAGAAACATTTGGCATGTTTCTTTAGCAATAATTTCTAACAAAATACCAGTAAATCCAGATTCAGTGGAACTTTGTGCATATTGTGGATCTGCTGCTTTTAATGCCTGGGTAAGACTTGGATTTTCTCTAAGTAAAAAGGGTTCTAAATGCTGTGGTAATGTCATTAAATATTGTCCAACTTGTGTTATATATTCCTGAGGTGCAAAACTATAATCAGGTAAATCTGCACTCAAATGAGTCATTTTGTTAGTTTCTGTTGACCATGCTGGTGCTTTTTGCACTGATAATAGCTGTGTAAAGATAGGAGCAAAGATTACTTCATATGTTGCACGATGTAAATCAGAACATAGTTTCTGAATAGATTTTATTATTGGATCGAGAATTGTTTCTTCTTCTGTAAACAAAGACATTTATTTAAATATTAAGTAATAACTGATGTCATTATTGAAAAGGCTTTTTATTTTATTAAATACCTTTCTGAAAAGATGCGGTTAAATTCTCCAATTCACTTTGGGTTGATATATTTAAAAGTAATTTTTTATACTGATTAAAAACGCTGCCACTTGTATTTTGTAACTTGTTGTTAGTTTCAGTAATGTCAATTATCAAAGATTTTTCAAATTGTTGAATTTGACCCAAAAGATCACCTATATATAATTAACAATTTTACTTTAAATTTATTTAGAAAAAAGAATTAAATACTACCTATAGTTTGCATCAAAGTAAGGCACATTTGAAACAAATTCCAATCCTCATGCTTCACTTTTTTGCGTTCTAATTGCCGTATAGCCATTTGATACTTGTCAAGATATTTATTGAAATAACTCTGAAAAAATTAACATTTTAATCAATATATATAATGAGAAGCATTTTTATTTTAAAATTTTAGATGAAGTAACATACAGTCAAAGATTTCAATAAACCAGAATAACCGCAACCATCTGTAAAAACTTTGCACCTTTTATTGGCTTCATTTGCATATTCCATTACTCTCGAAATGCTAAGGGAAAGAATGTTGATTGTATCACTTAAATCATCTTGTGGACATCCCATGGATTGCAGTTGATGTTCAAGTTGAGCTGTTTCATAAATATTGTATTTTGTAACATATGGAACATAAGGTGCATATATTGCTTGTGCTAATGACAACAATTTTAGATTTTGTAATTTTCCATGGGATGATGTCTCAATAGCACCTTGCAAGTTTAATGCAAAGTGCTTTGTAATTTGTTTAAGTTCAAGTAACAATGATAATTGTATAGCAATTGAATGTTGTTTTAATAGAGCTTCTATGCATTCTGGAATGCCTGGGTCCAAACTCCTCAGAAGATCTGCATATACCTCAATTATTACATCAACTGAGTCATTTGAAAATACTTGTTGAGACCATTTCACCTTAATTAAAATCAAACTATTTTAAAAATTTATGGTACGCATTAATATAACATTTTTGAAATAAAAACTACCTGATCATTCCAATTAGATAATAATTTATCATAATAAGTGTGTAACCAGTAAGAAACATTTTCATCTTGAGCTAATTCAATTGTTCTGCGCCATTCTTGTCCTAATGATACTTTTAAACAATTATGATAGTATTTAAGAAGTTGTGGTAAACGTTCCATTTTATTAAAAATATCCACATAAATTTTGGATTCTTCTAAATATTTTAAAACAGAAGTTAATGTTGTTACATTAAAAATACAACTATAATTAGAATGATATACCTAAATTTGCAGCAGTGAATGCTTGGACTAATTTTGGACTAGCCATAGCTTCTAATCGATTTTTCAAACCTTCTAATTGTAATTTTTTATCTTCATAGTCAATAACATTTATAAGCATTGCCAGTGATTTTTGCATACTGAACAGTTTATTTGCTATAGCTTCTACATCTCCTGATTCAAATACCTGAAATATTGAAAATAATATGAATTCAAAATTGACAAGGATTTGCTCACTTTCAATGCATGTCATACCTCTTCAACATCATTGGCGAGTATACTCCAATTATCAGCTTCGTGTAATCCTTGTTTAGCAGTTTGCAAATCTGTTTTTATTTTATCTATTTTCTCTAACGTTGCCATGGATGAAGCAGTATCTTTTTCAACCTGTTTAATAAATTAATGTAACAAAAGTATTTAATTGTTTTAGACAGATTTTATCAAAATTAAAACCTTTTCTATTTCTTGTTTAACTGCAATCATTTTTTCTCTCAAAGCCAAGGCTTCTTGTTGCAACAATTGGGTATCCCTCAATACTCTTGGCAAGCTTGAAAGAACAGACTGACTAGTCTCTTCTAAAGCACCATTAACTTGTTGCACATACAATTGTAATTTCATTACTAATGATGAGACGAATGCCTGAAAAGAATTTAATAAATGAAACTATTAAACTATCAATATGAAGGAACATCTTTTTTAATTTGAACATTATAACAATTTCGTGGCTAAATATTTATTTATTTATATAAAATAACGATTTTTTTTTATTTTTAGAACATTTTTTTATTTAATAAAGCGATATTTTCTTGCACAATATGGTGAAAAAAAAGTTAATCTTAAAAAAGACATATGGTGTCATTGACCGCGATGTAATGGAAGCAGTCAGTTTAGTGACTGACTGTACTAGTGCAACTGAAAGTCAAAAACTGTGTCGAGGAAAGAAACACAACCCGCGCAAATGAGATCACCATAACTGTATGACTTACATCTTTATTTTCTTGTGCCTCGACAGATTTGAACGTTTTATTAATCCAGTCTTTCACATCGAAAGTATCTTCGGAAAACGCAGATACGTCCTGAAATCAGTTTAAGGTTAGGAAAGATTTGATCTCTTATTTTGAGAATTTTCCACATTTCTTTTCGCGGAATACAATTTATTTTAAGCATCCGACAAAATGTACTGAATCTCTGAATGGATATTTCATTCTCAAGAGTTTTAATAAATATTTCGTTACTTACCATGGTAAATGTGCAAATCGTTACAAGAGATCTCGGATAACTTTTTTTTTTTTTTTTTAATGTAAAACGAAAAAATTGTAAAATACACGATACGAGCAACGGCGTTTTGAGAAACGAAATTTATTTTCTCTCTATTTTATTACTTTTTCATAGATGCCGTATAGCGCAGAAGTGCTTCGGTACACGGTCACTTTGCCGTTGCACTTCGTGTGTTGTTTCGTGACGCGAAGCAAATCCAGAAGGATGTTATTATCGTACCGGATTACAACAAATTAATTCGTTCTGTCATATTTCCTTAGTTTTTGTTATATTCGTATTATCAAGTACTTTCGTGCACCCTCGAAATACATATATATACATATAGTGTTTGTAAGGTGGTACGATCGTCGAGCGGATCGATTGTGCAAATGTGCAACATTTATACATACTTTTGTAACGGTACGCAGTTCTAGGTTAATAGATTCAGTTGAACTCGATGTGAAAATACGAAAATCTCGGGAAATGACAACTTCGCGGTATGCGATAGTATTTCGCACGTACATGACAGTATTGAAATTTAACGATAACGAAACGCCCCACGAAATAAAAAAAAAAAAACTTTAAGATTAAAACGATCGTTTTGTTTTTCTCTTTTTTTTTCTTTTTTTTCTTTTTCTTTCTCTATAACAATTGTGATAAAACAAATGGTATGTCTCGGATTCCAGACGAATACTATAAAGGAAAGATCATTTTGGAAAACGCCGTTTCACCCCGTTACGACGACTTGATTTCGTTGTAATACGGTCCACTTGCCTGGATTCCGACGAACTGCCTGGCAAAAGGGAAAGAATTGTAAATTGAAGAGGAAAAGGGAGAGAAAATGGAAAACAGCATGTTATCGGCCGTTTCCGGGCCCTTTGTTGATCGCCACGCCTCCGAAACTGCGTTTGCGCGTGACGATTTGCGCAACAGTTGGAAGTTGGAATTCTGCCTCGAAATAGCCTTAATCTCAACGAAAATAAGGAGAGCTGGCTGAACAGAACTGCAACAACTGTATTTTGCCCTTTTCTTTGCGAACATAAAACGCATCGTCTGGTTGAGACAAGGCCTACCTTCCCCAGGTTGTGCATACACACGCATACACTCCATTTTTTTTTCTGTGTTACATGAATCCATTACGTATGTAACTGATTATTTTATGCCTTATTTATGCTCATTTTGTAATTAGAGCTATCTGATCTTTTCTGTTATTAGAATATTTAAAACGCGATCTTGGAATTTTGAGTTCACGTGCGTAACGAGGGATTTATTCTTTCGCATAAAGTTGAACTTTATTACGGATGGCAATCAGACTCAATCAGTACAGCATATTAGAAGCGTATGCATTTAATGTCGTGTATAAAGTGCGTCGATCAGAAGTCCAATTTTGTAATCTTGCTGTGCATATGAATGCGTGCCGCTGATAAATTGTCCTTCAATTGGACCAGATTGAGACTTTTCAAAAAAAAAAAAAAAAAAAACTATTATTTCATTTATTTAACCATAAACAGATTAAAAAATATCAACCTCTATATTTCAGAATATCGATTCGTTCTTTTTGCGTGTTAATGTTAATGCAAAAACTATTGTTGATAGTAATTTCTTATTTTATTAACGATACAATTTAATATTCATAATATTGGTTCGATAATTTTGCTACAATGTCATGCTACTTCTTACTAATTTAGTCGTCTGCCGAGGTTTAAGATAAATCAATGCAAAATAAGTCGAATACAATTATGCGTTTTTGCAATGTGGAAAAATTATGGAACCATCATCCTTGTACGGAAAGACCATTGTACTGGTCCCAGGGCGACTATGCAATACGACTGTCTGTAGGAAGGGTAAGAGGTATCCTCGACCTTGAAGTTTGTACCAGCCAATCCCAAGCCTTTATTTTCTAACAGAGGGCACGGGATTGGTTAAATGTTCTCCACGGTACCACTGTATTTCCAAGTGCTTCCGGTTAGAAAGACAGATTTTCCAAAAAGCAAATACTCGGTAAGTCGATAGAACAGGTAACGTCGTTATTTTTCTCTTCTTCTCTTTGGTTCTTTTCATTTTCTTCAACGCACTGTTCTTCTAATGCACTTCTAATATTGGCCTATCAGCGCAAAAAAAGTAATTACCAATGCGCGATAACGAGCCAATGAACTGATTTTTGCTTAATCTCCCTTCCTCTGTGAAAACAACACGCGTGCAAAAGGTATACATGGGATTCGAAAAACAATTTACTTGGCTCTGATTACGCATTGTCCGACTATGCGACGAAACAGCATGATCGGATTTGTTATGGCTGTGTAGCACAGGGAACCTATCTCTTATTGGCAGAACACAGCGATCAATTAGAAGAATACGACGCAAGAGAGAGAGAGAGAGAGGCCATACTCTGACGATTACTTTGAAACGTTAGTCCCTGTGACACACAGTCGAACTGTCGAGAGCATTTGGTATCAGCCTTTGGTGTGGTGCTCGTGTTACATCTGGCTGCGATACGTTACATTGGACCAGCCGATCTTTCACTCTCATTTCTAATTCACATACTTACATTACATATAAATACACACTATATTCCAGTCCTCCAAGCTTTTTTATACTCTTCAACGTGCTCGATAAGATCCTTTGACAATTACTCACAAAATTCAGGGCGAGTATTTGTGCTTAAAATAAATGGCTCCCTACTGCACGAATTTTGCAAGTGATGCCATTTGCAAAATAACTCCTATACAAAGCTCTCTGTGTATCGCATTGCATTTCAATACGACCGTTTTGGTCCTGCTTTTATTCGATCGATCCTACCTCTTTTCCCCCCGTGAATCAAGAACTTATCTTTTTGAAAGTTCCGGGAACAATAATAATCTCGCGATCGAATATGTAACCCTATTTAATTCAGCAGCTCGCGGAAACTTTCGAAAGACAATCAATAGTTTCGTCTGGCACTTCGCAAAGTAAACGTTTCGAGGATGTTGGCGGATGAAATTAATGATCTTCCTTCAATCTCGGTTGATTGCAGCTCTCCTTCCTCAAATTCGTAATACTCTCGTATCTTATAACGTCCCGTTTTTCTATTTTACTAAATTTGCAACAGGAGTTTTCGCAGTGACGGTGTAGAATTAATGTTTTAAATGTGCTAGAGAGCAAGACGTATTCTGTGTGTTTGCTAATGATGTCGTATCGTGCAATATGATCGACCGTTCCGAGGTAACAGGTCCTTAACCTATCTCAGAACGTCGAGAACCGTAGAACGATCGAGCGAAAAACGAAAAAAGGATACTGAGTTTCTTTTTTTTTTTTTTAAATTTTCGAGAGATCGGAAATACGTTGGATGAAAGATGGAAAAAAAAAAAGAAAGTATAGACGAAGATTCGATGATTGAGAGAGATGGATGAACACGGTGTATCAACGATACGTTTGATCGCATTCATGCTCGAGCGTAGACTTATCTCGGGACGTGTACAAGAGGATGAAATTATTCAGCCGGTAACGGCAGAGACTGTACCGAGGCCGCGCTACACTTCTGAGAAAATAAATTCTCCCGCGCTTCTTCAGTGCCCGTAGGTTCGCGTTGCCACTTCCTTCGTGAATTCTCTTCCTCGAAGATCGAGTTGATTCGAATAGCCAACCTTCCCTCTGGGGACCATAAGGGGACGAGGCTCTCGACTGCGCAATTCTCGTTGCAGAAAAAAAACGTAGAGACGCTAAAAAAGGTAAAAAGGAACGGAGGCGAAGGGGATATCGAATTTTTTTTGCGGCCCCTCCTCGCTTTGCGCCTATATTGATTTTTAGAAATTCCTCGCGAGACGGTCGAACGCGAGTGTAGAAAAGAGTGAGCGAGCGAGCGAAACGAACCGACGAAGGAAACAAGAAAAGAAGGAAAGAAACGAAGCAGCCGGAAAAGAAACGCGGCCCTCAAGCCATCGCGCGTTCTAGGGCGGTGCAGCGCTGTTTTACGAAACCTTTCAACGGGCAATGTCCGATAGAAACCGAGAGCGTAATTAACTTGGGACTTATCAAGCCGACGAACGTCGCGTTTTGCGTCTTCGCGAAACGTCTTAACGCTAATAATTGTCTCGAGAATGCTCTTTGTCACGATTTTGACTTGATTCAAACATTTCTCTTCTTTTTTTTTTTTTTTTTTTGTGATACTGGCTGAGGAACATATTCGTCATTAATTATACTTCTTCGTTTCTCACGAGTTTCTCCTCCTAACGTTTCACCTATGCATCCATCAATTGTTAAAAAGATTTCGTTTTGACATCTGTTGTGAAACGTTAGTGAGAACATATTTGTAAAGAACGTATGTACTGTGTTACTCGACATTGATCAAAAAATTTGAGAAATTTGAATACAAATAATACGAGATTTAAATTTAAATTGGGAAATTTCAACGGTAAATCGAAAAACTCGCGGAACAATAAGGAGAGAGGAAAGTGGGGTTGGAAACACATAGAGAAAACAACGCTCGTTCGTTCGTTCGTTCGTTCGATAATTTATTTTATATAATATGTACAGCAATGGTGCGTAAAAACGGAAGGCAAGAACATTGCACGCGAGTTAGAAAAGTTGAAATGAACCGTTAAAGTTCCATCGAATGAAACGTGAATTAATGGTAGGGGAGGGGAGAGGGATGCGTGCGTGTTCATAGGTATTTATAAGATTCGTAAGGATGTTTACGGCATTTGTTTCTAACAGCGGGAAAATTCCCACCCATATTAGACATAATGCGAGACGGCCCTGCTTATAGTCGAATGCAATCGAAGGTAGTCGAAGTCGTCCGAGGACAGTGGAAAATAGTGGGATGTTTCCCCTCTTTCGCTTGTGACCATCCCTCATCCCCTACCATAGCGCGCATCCCTTCCTTTAGGCTCGATGTCTCTCTGTTTCTCTCGTTCCCGTTGACGGTTCTCTCAGTCGCTTCCTCCTCCCTCTCTGTCTCGCTCTGACTGGCTGTGATCTCCCTCTCTCTTTCCTTCCGTCTTTGTCCGTCTCTGTTTCTCCTTCTTGCTCGTTCAGCTCGTTCTTAACGTCAAACCACTTAGGGCCGCGGACCTCGGCAGTCAGTCGATCTTTCCTAGCAGCAGCATTCCGGCATTTTCTACCTGATCGCGCGCGGGCGGTCCGGTAAACGCCATTTTGTTCGTCACGTCTGATCGTCACGTCTCCTCGTTAGAGAGAGGTACCTCGTGCGTACAACGGTTTGTATGTGCCGCGCACCCTTCCACGCCCCGTGCAACACCTGCGTTATCAAAAACAACAAACGAACAGCGACGCACTTTGTAACACGCGCGCGCGGTTGTTGTGTGGTGCCGGTGCTAGTTTACATTTGTCTATTCCGTGAATCGACAACTGGACAACTCGAGAACAGAAAGGAACGCCGGGTGTTGTTTTTCCGTTGACGAGACCCGCACGGAACGGAGTGCGTGACCCCGCGTGGTGTTCTCTCTCTCTGCTCTCCACGTTACTCATTCGTCGGTCACCACCACGTTAAGGACTTCGACAACGCAGTTATCCGATACGTGAGAACGTGAGTACGCACCAAATACTTTATTAAATTCGCGCGTATATCGACTGTCTTTCCGTCTATCACGCACAGCTCGAACGTTAGATCTTGTTTTTTCCTGCCTGCATGGCATCGTCTGCCATGTTAGACCGGCGTCTCTTTCTCTTTCTCCCTCCTTTTTCTCTCTGTCCCTCTCTTTTCACTCTCTCCCTTCTCGCGTCGTCCCCCTTCCTCGTGCTGTGTGTAAACGCGCTCTCTCCCACTCTTCGCTCCCGTATCTCGACAGGAGCGTCGACATGAGTTTTCCGATTGTAAGTTTTAATGCTAATGCACGATGACGATCGCGATCACAGATGCCGATGACAGTCACGCTGTTCGTAAGGAACGACAACGACGCCGCCTGTCAACCAACATCTCGCTTTCATTGACGCGCCCGCTCCTGTATTTTCGTTGTTTGTATAATTCGCTGCGTGTATATACGCATGTGTTACGAGTGTCTGTTACGATTGAACCGAGGACAGAGACGGTGAATAAACAGGGTGGTGGGGCGAGCGAGAGAGAACGAGAGAGAAAGACAGACAGACGGACAAACAGGAGGGAGAAAGAGACGAAACGAACACGCATTCGTAGGACAACAGACAAGTCGAAACGAAACATCGTGCCCACGTAATTCTACGCGAATGTATGTACATAGGCGATTTCTTTTACTGTTTTGCGTTTCGCGAGGCGATACTATTCGCGAAAGCCGTGTGTATTTCTCGAAACAAACATAACCTTAAACGATCGGAGAATGAATACACACATACTTGACCGGTTTGCGCGTATACCTTTGAGGCATAGGCGCGGTTCTTGACACTTGGACGTTACCGACGCTCCAGCACGTGTAACCACACGCGCCGTTCGATGCTCCAAGATAAGTATTGCAAGTGTAACCAATCAAAGTAGCCGGAGTTTTGTTTATTTCGCGTGCTGGCGTAAAAGCGCGGGAGGATTCGTAATCGAAATGCAACATTTTTACAATCGATTTGTTGTGCTTGCGCGGGATACGCGCTCGAAAAGAAATATTTCCCACTTTCAAAAAACAAAAGTTGCGAAATTTTGAGTCAGAATGACTTCGAATGTGACTCATCATTACGAATGAGATTATTTTCCATGAATACCACCACGCAGTAACTGAGCACGACAGTTAATTCTAATGCTTATCTTCGCTCG